TGAGTCAGGTGCACCACAGGGCACTAGGGATACTAAGATGAAATTCACAGCCTAGTGGGGAAGACAGGCCAAACTGATGTCATATTACGTGCCTGATAAATTTGGCCTAATAACTATACTGGTGGTGTCATGACAAGAGGTTATGAGAACAGGGAACGGAAACACCTAATCCAGCTAGAAGAGGTTATAAAGGATTTCTGAAGGTCAGCTGAGCTGGAGTTAGCCATGAGGAGGGGGGCTTGGGGAAATGAAGAACACGCCAGGCAGGTGAAGATAATGCAGGCAAAGTCATCATGGAGTTTAGCATGCTGAAGCATGGACTGTAAGGTGGAGATCATGTTGAAGTAAAAAGGGATAGTCAGGGCTTTAAACCTCATACGGACTTTGGATAATGGCAGAGAATTTGGACTTAATCTCATGAGTGAATGAAGAGCCAGTCAAGACCTATAAATAGGAGAGTCACACAAACTGGACATATTTTAAATGGATTGTTGAAGTGGCAGGTAGCAAATGGATCTAAAGGTCTATTTAGCCAGATTGTGCTGTGACAGCAACTCCAAATCTCAGTGAATTAATGCAGTAAAGGATTATTTCTTAAATATCCAAAGTCTGAAGCTAGCTGGGCAGCCCTTCTCCATCTGGTAGGTATATCATGTGGAATATGTATCCTTTTAGGTTCTGCACTGCAGGTTATAAGATGTTTTTATGGGTTGGGAGTAGAAGGGGATTTCCTTAAGTTTTCCCATATCTCATTGTCCAGGACCCTGCCACATGGCTCAGTGTACCTGCCAGGGGCATCAGGCAAGCACTGAGACTCTACCACAGAAAAGGGCACTTCATTCAGTCTTGTTTATAATCTACCAAATGCACCTGTAAATTCTTATTGTATTGTTTGAGAGAAAACATTGTTTATTAATTTATTCAATTCATTCAACAAATGCTTTTTTGAGCACCCGCTAGACACTGTCATAAGCACTGCCACTGCCATGAGTAGCAGGGGTACAGCCTTGTTCATGTTTCTTCCCTGTGCATAGACTCTTCCTTGGCTCCCCAGGCTCATACTGATGTGTTAGAGTAAGAGTAAGTTAGAGATGTGTTAGATTAGAGTAAGTCAGGCGGAAAGTACAACATGGGCCAGACCACGTGGGGTTTTATAGGCCACGGGAAGGACTTTGAACTTGACTTAAATGAAGGGCCTTTAGAACATTCTGTGCAGAAGAGTGACATAATCTGACTTACTTTTTAAAAGGATCGTTCTGGCTGCTCTGTTGAGAACAGATGTAAGGTGCTAGGTTGGAAGCATAGAGCTCTATTAGGAAGTTATGCAGTAATCCAAATGACCAGTGATGATGGTCTTGGACCATGGCAGAAGCATGGAGCAGATGGTGAAAAATGTTCAGACTCTACACTTATTTTGAAGTTAAAGTACTTAACTTTGAAGGTAAAATGATCGTAATTTGAAGACAAGTCA